TATATAAAAATTTTTTCAATTCATACCGGTAAATCATTTTCAAATTTTCTTAATGCTTTTTTTGAATTTTGTCTCCATTTAATATATTCACCTTTCAAACTATTTATTATTTGTTGTTTTGATTGTTGTGTTAATTGTGTCTAATTGAATAAAACAAAAAAGAATCTATGATTCATTATAATCAAAATATTTCTAATATAATATAACCGGTAATATTTGTGTATCTAACGGTGAAACAAATTGACAAACAACTTTCTTCATATTTCGAACATCTAAATAAATATAATAATAGAAAAGCAAATACTAATAAATTCTTTTATTTATATTACATTGTTGATGCCATGTTCGCCATATAATATTATTTAAACGAATTCTATCTTGACATTCAATACGTGATCCACGAAAATTTTTCCATTTCGGTGATGTTAAATTAGATCTATATTGATACATGATGAAAATATTATATCTTATTTTTTTTTATAAAAATTTTAAATTTTACCTATATACTGTATTAATAACACAGAGAAGAGAATATAAACTAGTAAATTGACCGTTAGGTTCTGTTCGTCGTTCTGGTACTCCTTGTGGTGTATCATTAAGAAAAGGTAAACCTTGTGTAGTTGCATTTGGAATAGGTGATGGACATGGAACATCAATTGGCTATAATATATTATTGTACAATAAAAATCTAAGAATTATCAATTTGAGGAAATTATTTTACCTCAGCATCATTATCAATACTTGATGTCATAAATTGACCTGAATAAAGAGGATGTTTTTCCTCTTTTTGACTTCCATTTGAAGTTGTATTAGGTTCAAGTTTTATTCTTTTTGCTACTCGAGACATAAATATATATGTAAACGAGGATAACACAAAAAAAACAACAGATCGTTTCCTTTCTTTTTTCTTATAATCAAAATAAACAAACAGAACAAACAACACTTCAACTGTAAATTTTCTTCCTTCCAGAAACAACAAACTTGTACGTCGTGGAAGCTAGCCCAACCCCATCATTCAGCCTAACAAAAATAATGATTCTATTGGGTGATTCTTTAACCAATAGATATCGTAATATTCGCAAAACACCATTAAGGAGGAGCATAAAATAAATATATTTTGGAAATGGCCGCCTTGGTGATGATATACGCTCTAAAAAATGCCATGCGTCTTACAAGACGGTGCATCCGTCTAAAGTCTATTTTAGACATTAGTTAGACACTAGAAATGTCTCTGTTTTAGACACTTGAGTGTAATAGATACTAAAACGTCTTATGTGTTAGACAATTGAATGCATAGACACTGAAGCGTCTTATTCTTTATTTAACTGTCGCTATTGTGTACAATTTTCATTTCTTTTCTTTCTCATTTGTGATGACTTGTACAAGTGAATTTTATCAAATTTTCTTAAATTATGTGAAGTCGTCAAGTAAAATGTTTTTCTACATTACAAGGATTTTTTTTCTATTCTTTTTTCCTAAACTAATTTTTTGAGTTATGCACTTTCGATATCAAAAATATTTCTTTTAGATTAATTTAGGCTAAAAAGGTGCTGTATGATTCTTTTCTTTTTTTCTAGAACACTATTTGTTGAACATCTATCATAAAGTTTTCAGATTTAATTTCTCATTTGGACATTTACGAAAAAATCCGATAACAAACTCAATCTCACCGAAACTTAAACTTTAATATTTCTCTAAGATGTTGTGGCTGATTTACGAGCTATTTATTCTGAAAATGAATGTACTTCGATATGATCAGTACGTATGAACGAAATATTTTTGATAAAATAATTTTTAATTTTTCTTGTCATCAAATTCGTTTTTATTACATTTAGTTTTAATTTTTCTTTTTTTTTACAAAAGTTTAACTTCAATCTTTTGCAAAAATTTAAAAGGATTATTTTCACAAAAATAAAAAAAACAATTTTTTGTATAAAGTTAAATTTAATAAAAATGAATTTGATGGGAAGAAAAGTTAAAAAATTATTTTATCAAAAATATTTCGTTCATACGTATTGATCACATCGAAGTACATTCATTTTCAGAATAAACAGCTCGTAAATCAGCTGCAACGTCTTGCAAAGACAGATTTAAGACATTTTGCGTAATTGGTTCAAATGCTCCAACGAGAATTGAGTAAGACGCTCGAGTGTCTAAAAATGGTTATCCGTTGACACTTGAAGTGTCTAAGTTAGCGATAAATCAACCAATCAGAATTAGGTCAAAGTGTCTTATATAAGCGGACGAACCGTCGTGTCTATACACTTCATACGTCTTGATTTTTTAGAGTGTATTTGAATTATCTTTTTCGCTTAAATTTTTTTTTTGAATTAAATGATGATTAGCATTCTTGCTTAATTATATGCAAATGACATGCATTTTTATTATGAACGAAGAACATAAAAACAAGAGTGATTAAAAATATGTAGATATAGTAACAATAAAAAAAAAAACAATATTTTTTAACAATTCTAGTTGGAATCACAAGCAAAACACAAATGACGGAATTATTGGAGTCCTGTTTCTAGTGAATATTCTGTCGGAACATAATTTATTCTGAACGTAATAAAAAGTTGACCGATTATTTCACCTGTTAATGTCAACCAAGTATCCACCCATCACCAAAAATAATATACGAAGTTATCGAACACAGATGGCCGTACATCTGCTCGAATCAACACTAGCAAAATCATAACAGACCGTCGTACCAATAAACTTCAACCCATGTCATCAACGTACACATTGAACGTTTTTATATTCTTTTATTTCACTTGTAACAACTTTATCATAGAAATAAAAAAAACATACCAACACACTCCCTAGTTGTTCCTCAGATAGGACTCCGCTACTAAACCACTTCAATAAATATTTTTGAACATCACTAGCTGCTGTATATCTTGATATTATCTGTAACAGAGCACAAATTTTCCTCGATGGTGTTGTTGGTGGTATTACAGCTAATATGATATTAATTTTTTCTAGCATAGGACAGGACTTTTAAAACAGTTGAAGTCATACTTCTAAACATCTTTAGCTGCTGCACATTTTCACCCCACTTTTAAGTTAACCCAAATTTTTCTTAGCAGCGTTGGTAGTGATACTAATACTAACATTTTTTTTCATTTGTGCTAATGTCTCACGGGGTGTTCCAACCTGTTGAATACGTAATTTTGAACGTCTCTTGCTCCTGCACATTATGATATCCTTCTTAACTTAGCACAAATTTTCCCTGATGGTGTCAGTGATGGTCTTACTACTAACATGATCCTAATTTTTTATAGCACAGGACGGAAGTTTTCAAACAGTTAAAGACATATTTATGAACATCTCTGCATGATATCCATTTTCATATGATTTCTAAGCTAGCACAAATTTTTCCTAATGATGTTGCTCGTGGTAGTAATACTAACACTATTTTAATTTCTGCTAATGTTTGACGCGGCTTTTCAGCTAACTAAATACATATTTGTGAACCTCTCCGGCTGCTGTACATCGTCATATCATTTTAAAGCTAGCACAAATTCTTTCTAATGGTGTTGGTGGTAGTACTAATACTAACATTTTTTTCCTTTCTACTCATGTGTGACGAGGTTTCAGAATTGGTTAAGTACATATTTTTGAGCATCTCTACTTGCTATACATCATCATACTGTTTATAAGTTAGCACAAATTTTCCCTGATGGTGTTGGTGGTGGTATTACTATTAACATGATCTTAATCTTTTGTGGCATAGGACGGGCTTTTTGACCTAGTCGAATATATATTCCAGAACATCTCCGACTGTTGCACATCGTCATACCATTTATAAGTTAGCACAAATTTTCTCTGATGATGTTGCTGGTGGTATTACTATTAATATGATCTTAATTTTTTGTGGCATAGGACAGAGTTTTTGAAACAGTTGAAAACATATTTCTGAACATCTGTATCTGCTGCACATCTTCATACGACTTTTAAGTCAGCACAAATTTTCCTTAGTAGTGTTGGTGATGGTATTAATATTAATATTGTTTTAATTTGTGCTAGTGCTAGACGGGGCTTTTGACCTAGCTGATTACATATTCTTGGGCATCTCCGGCTGATGCACATTGTGGTATCATTTTTAAGTTAGCACAAATTTTCCCTGATGGTGTTGGTGGTGGATTACCTTTAACATGATCTTAACTTTTTATAGCATAGCACGGAGTTTTTGAAACAGTTGAAAACATATTTCTGTACATCTGTACCTGCTGCACATCTTCATATGGTTCCCAGGGTAGCTCAAATTTTTCCCGATGATAGTGATGGTGGTATTAATAATAACACTGTTTTAATTTGTGCTAGTATTAGACGGTGCTTTTGACGTAGTTGAATATATATTCCAGAACATCTCCGACCGTTGTACATCGTCATACCCTTTATAAGTTAGCACAAATTTTCCCTGATGGTGTTGGTGGTGGTATTACTATTAACATGATGTCATGTGTTTGGGGCATAGGACGGGATTTTTGAAATAGTTGAAAACATATTTCTGAGCATCTTTAGCTGCTGCACATCTTGATATGTTTTTTAAGGTAGCACAAATTTTCCTCAGTAGTGTTGGTGGTAGTATTAATATTAACATTGTTTTCATTTGTGCTAATGTTGGACGGGGCTTTTGACCTAGATGAGTAAATATTCTTGAAAATCTTCGAATGATATACATTGTGATAGCATTTTTAAGTTAGCAGAAATTTTCTCCGATGATGTTGGTGGTGGCATTACTATTAATATGATCTTAATTTTTTGTGGCATAGGAGGGGGTTTTGAAATAGTTGAAAACATAGTTCTGAACATCTCTAGCGGCTGTACATCTTCACATGATTTGGTAGTTCGCATAGATATGGTGATAGTGGTTTTGGTGATATGATTAGTAATATTATCTTGTTCTTGGGTCATATGTTTTTTTCTATATTGACGGTCGCTAGGGAAAATTATTGGTATTGTATGGATTGTTTTAGGTATTTTACGCGAGGAATAGTATGTGGCTGTTGTCTGCTATCTTAATCGTAGCTACTTTCAATGCAGGTTTGCTGTTTATAATTAATATTTCAATGTTAATATAATATTCAATTCATATAGTAATTGGTTGTAAACATTCGCATTCTGCAGCTCTCTCTCAAATTCAATCTGTTGGCATTGGAATTTCATCATCAGGTGGTTGCAGTAATTGTAATAATCCAAAATGTACATCAGTTGATCAAGTGAATTGCAATGCAATTCGTTGTTTGAGAACACTGAAAACATCTTCAGGTTGTCCTATCACAGTTACTGGAGGCACAGTAAGATAATATCATCAATAAATATTTTCTATTATTCGATCATTGGTTTTTTTTTTGTTTTGAATTAATAGGAAACTGGTCATGCTAGTGGAACACATTCACATTGGAATGGATATAAAATTGATATTTCACTCAATTCATGTATCGATTCATATATTACAAAACAATTTGCTTACTTTGGTAAACGAGGTGATGGTGCTACTCAATATAAAGCATCAAGTGGCAATGTTTATGCTAAAGAAGGCAATCATTGGGATATTACATTCACTGCTCAATGTTAAACATTTTCTTTTTCTTGATAACTAAAATGAAATGTATTGTATTGAAGTCATCTTTCTTATAATACATTCGATATAAATATTAAAAGAGATAATAACTATTGATGAAATCAATACAAGAAATTAATATTGAAATATTAAATATTAAATATTAATGTTTTCAAGAGAAGAAATTATTCATACTTATGTTTGTTGTATTTTTTAAGAATATTGTAGAACGACTATTTTGACAAAACACAGTTCTTATTAGTGGCGTAACCAGAGAGAGGACTCAGCTCGCTCTAGAAATATTTGAGTCCTCCTAGAAAATTTGAAAGCTCCATGGACACTGATGTGAAACCCCTTACGAGATGCTTAGTAACCGTACAGTTTTTTTCCTGGTTACATCACTAATTCATAAAGAAGGTATCATTGTTTGCACTTTTGGCAAAAATAAAATCTTACAGGTGAAATGGACAATAAATGTCAAACAAATCTAGACGACTCTTAAGCATTTGTAATAAAAAGAATAGAAAATGCAAATTATTTTGCATAGTTGAGATGTTAGACAAAGAAATCAAACTAATTCAATTGTTTTTTTTTTTCGTCATTTCTATTGATGAATTTTCAATTTCATTTCAATCGAAACATATCGAAATCCGAGAAGAAAAAAAAAATCTTTTTCTTATTACAACCAAAAAATACAGTCAATAGAACACAATGTACATCGAGTTTATGGTGAAGACTGTTGTTTTCTTCTTAGTTATAACTATTGTTAACAGTTCTCACTTTTTGGGTGGCACTATCAATTGGTGTATAGAGAATTCGTCAACTAATAGTACATGGGTAGCTATACTTATTACTCAAACATATTCTTGGACATATACTCCTGGAAAATATGATCATGGTGAAATTGCTGCACATCAAGTAGTAGCTGGTACAGGAGAAATACTAACTTGTTCACCTAGTTGTCCAACTGGTTTTGGAAGTGTGTCTACTACATCTTATTGTACTGATGTTTCCTCACTCAATGGAATCGCAGTTGGACAACGTTCAGATGTAGTTGTAATACCAGAAGGCAGTGATTTTTCAGTGATTTATGCAAGTAGTGCATGGGGTAGTCTAACGTTAGGCGGAGCTGGTTGGTCTATTTCATCGCATATTAAGCTAGTAAAAAAGATCCGATAATGGCATGTTTAACAATGCTCCAGTAGCCACTGTCATGTCTCCAATCATTATTCAACAGAACAAAACGACACTGATTACTACCTCAGTCAGCGATGCTGATGGAGATATTGTTCGATGTCGTTGGGCTACTAGTTCGAATGGTGTTGATGAATGTGGTTCCGTATGTCCACCACATTCATTACCAGCCAATACAGTGATTTATTCAAACTGTACTATTGAAGTTATTGGTACAATTGCTGGTAGTCGATATGCTATAGCAATTATGGTCAGTTTTGTTCTAGCTTGAAAAAAAAATCTAGTATTTTATTTTTCTCTTATCTAAGCAGAGGATTTCATCAATTCAACTAGTACAACACCATTAAGTTCAGTACCTGTTCAATTTCTTCTTGAAGTCGTTACTCCATCATCATGTTCTATTCTACCTGAAGTGTCGCTTACTGGAAAATCATGTACACCAATTAAGGTTAATGAAACATTTACATCCCAATTACTTGGTATAAATCATTGTGGAGAAAATGTTACTATTATTGACATATCTACATTGTCTTTTTCTGGAATGATTCAAGAATCTCTTGCCAAATTAAGTTCTCTCATTTATTATAAAAATATAACTTGGACACCAACTATTTATCAACTTGGCTATCAAGTTATGTGTGCAATGGGTTTGAACAGGTTTTTATCATAGATTGTGTTAAATTTTTTAACTTTAATCATCTTTGTTTCATATAGTCAACATGTACAATCATTGCAACATTGTTTCACGTTTTATGTAACAGAAAATGGTACGGATACATGTCCTGGAGTTATAGACCATAGCACAACGACGATCTCATCAATATCAACATCAACAACATTAATGACAACGACAAACACATCAACATCAACCCAAATACTAACATGTTTGTAAAAAACAAAATGTTCGTTTTAATTCTATATAAAATCTATTGTTATTATATTTTTAGCTAGTTGTATCAATTGGTTATTGGTTGCAAGTCTTGCTGCTTTGGCTCTTTGGACTACGGCCTGTAATTGTTGTTTACTTTGCCATTGGTATAAGTATGTTAAGCAAAAATGAAAAAATTCATCAATCTATCAATTTATTTTGCAGAGGCTATAAAAATAAACGACAACAGAAATTGGACAAATACGATTCATCTAAAACCTCTATGTCTTTAATATCTATATCAAAGACTAGTTTTACTGTGATGCCTATCGATACTGTCTATTCTATTTCGAATGAGAATATGCATAAATCAAATATTGATGAAACACGTTTGAATCATACAAAAGATAAAGATTTTTTGTTTTACTAAGCTTTATACGAACTATTATTCATTCAAAGTTGACAATCATATATCACGAAAGATTATGTCCGAATTTCATTATCCAAACAAAAATCTATTTATAACATCATTTAATGAATTAAATTCATCTATGAAACCATTAAATCTTGATCAAAATCTGACAATGGTAAGTTCGAATAGTGTTCTGTCATAAATAGATACTAGTAAAGTATATGTAAATACTATAACAACGTTATTCATTCTAGATTGAAAACATAAATTTATCATCAACATTAAAACAAGTCAATACAAAACCTAACATTAATATACGATCATGGAATGGTGTTCGTATCAAACGCATACGAAAAATAGACAATAAAATGTAACAACAACTAACATTTTTAACCATTTAAAATCGTAAACAAAAGAATTTCAAAAACCTAAGTTTATTTATAAAGACTCGTCTTCGACGAATATCATTATCAAATATATACTCATGAGGGAACATATTTGAGGGTCTTCCTGAGACTAAGTTTAAAACCATTCTATTCGGCACAGACTTCGATGTATATGTCAAATATCAATGTCTTAGCTGCCCTTGTTTAGGTCTGAAAAAAAATGAGAGAATCAAACCTGTTCATTATTATGTCCTTTCCTTGTGTTATACCTGTATTACTTTTTCGAATGGATGGAAAAAGACAGAAAGGAAAAATGTCGAAAGGGAAAAATATCGAAAATAAAAATGTCGAAAACAAGAATATGAGGTGAAGATGAACATGTAAGATTGAAGGTGAGAGTGAGGAAATTTGTACTTCAATATACTCTCGTTTTCAGCATTTCTACCCATCTACATTTCTATTATTTTTGTTTTCGAGATTTTTATTTTCGATATTTTTCCTTTTCGACATTTTTCCTTTCTACCTTTTTCCATCATACCACTTTTTCACTTATATAAGATTGGCAACTACGATCAATTTTTTTCATAGAAGAGCTGTCCAAGCCAGCAGAATTCGACATCAAAGAGCCATTTATCTGTTACGAATGATGATATCACATGTATGTTTTCCAACGCTCATTCTTGTTTTGACTCTACATGGTCACCAGAAACGTTTCGAATGCTCATCGTCACAAACAGCTATATCGTTCCGCGTCAGACAAAATGGATTGTAAACAAGCATCCATTTACGGCATACTTAACATGTAATGGAAGCCGTCTTACGCCACTCTATATGAACATAATATGGATCGCAATACTGTATAAACTTCATACAGTGAAATATGATGACTCAGAAACAATGTGAAAAACCGGGGAGCTTTTGATCACGCAATATTGATTGATTCCATTTCAAGTTAATGAAATATCAACGCATCTAATTTTCTTTTACTTTTCCTATAAAGAGAAAGCGTAGTCACTTCCACTAGGTGGCATGCACAAAAATAACAATTACTGATACTTGACCAGCAAGCATAGACGTCACAATGCTACTCATGATACATAATTGCCTTTTTCATGACCAGTTGTGCTCATTTCCGCAAACTTTACTATAAAAAAAAATTAATTAGACTTACCAAACTTCTCCAACTGAAAAATGACACAGGTATAAAACAAGGAAAGGACTAATAATGAACAACTTTGATTCTCTCATTTTTTTCCGATCTAAACGAGGGCAACTAAGACATTGATATTTGCGATATACATCAAGGTCTCTACCGAACAGAACAGTCTTAAACTGCTTCTAAGCGAAACACTCAAATATGACCCATCGTTAGACGATGAAAACTTGCTATGCAAAAAATGGCCACATCTTAGAATATTTCAAAGTCTTTCTTCAATAACTGGAAAAACTTTTTAGAATGTTCTAAATAACACACAAACACGATGACTTGTTACACCAGTCTCCATTTAATGAACATAAAAATGCATGAACTAATCAAGTACTAATTTTCAGAAATAATCGATAACAATATTTCTCAGTTTATTCAGCTACATAATATAGCATTGAGATCTGCCACGAAATGTGTAAAACAGATGATCATAGCTCTCATAATCTGTCTTATCCTTGAAAGACAGGTCTATAACCTTTTTATTCCAAATTCTAATGTATAAAATGGCCACTGTAGAACAAAAAAAACCTAAAGATATTTGAATTTCGGATATGATATTTATTTAAGCCAATTGAAAACTAGATGAAATCTGATAAACACAACTACTTGCTACTTTTAGTTATTAATTATCCGAGCAGTGAGGATGCCTAGCCTTCTTTACAGCCTCTTGGTAGAGTTTGATAAAAACTGTGTTTTAAGAAAAAAGTCAACTAAAATAACCATCTGTAAGCAATAAAAAACAAAAGGTATCGTCACTCAATGATTGGCATTTGGAAAAGGACTCATTGTAGGTGGTCTGATGGGAAAACTGTCAAAGACTTGAATGTAAAATAATTTCTAACTTTAAATGTCTTATCTTCATTATCTTAGGCGTCTTTTTCATCTCAGACCAAAATATGATCAATCTTTAATTCTTCGAAACGTAGTTTATTTTTCTAGTTCTGATGCATATGTTAATCATAAATTGAACATTTTTTTGCTTTTTTCTTAGATGAATTTATCTCAACGAGCATCAAATGAATAACAAGAAACAACTAAACCAAATATTCATATTATTGTTCATATTCATGGTGGTGGTTGGGTTCGTGGTAGTCATACAAACAAATGGCATGGTAGTTTAACAATAGGTCGAACATGTGCTCGTGAAGGTTTTGTTAGTATTATTGTATCTTATCGTTTAGCACGTATATCTCTTCTATCATTTCTTGCTTGGTCATTTATTTTTAGTCTTATTATTATTATTATTATTATTATTATTGGACTGTGTTTACTTTCATAGCAACATATAACCGATTATGTAGCATTTATGACATGTGCTTATGGTTATAATTTTTTATATAGAGTACGAGTACCAGGCAATGTTGAATATATAAGTAAACTATTTAAAAAAAGAATAATGAAATTTTGTATATATTTAGATGATGGATAATTTATGTCATATACTTATTTATATCCGTGATCATATAAATGAATAATGTCCAGATGCTGATCCAAATCAAATATTTCTCTCTGGCTATTCAGCTGGTGCACATTTAATTAGTTTACTTGTTCTTGATAAATCTCATTTACATCGTCATGAATTTCCTCTATCAATAATATGTGATGTTATAACTATAAGTGGAATTTATAGTCTAGCAAATTCAACACATGATTAATAAAAAAATATTCGTAATTTAATATTTCGTATACTTTATTCAAGTAATCTACTTTATTCGGAAGGCAAAGAAATGAACAAATATTTACCTATTGAATATATAAAACAAGATGAAGAAATACTATCATTTCTTGTTATGTCAGCACGATATGATATAAGTTTAGAAGTGAATGCAAAACATTTTGTTGAAAAACTTAAAAATTATCAACATTCTGTTGATTATTTTACTGTCACTGGTACACATGGAACAATTGCAAGTAAATTTGCAAAAAATGATGCACGAAAACATTTTTTTTTACATTCATTCGTTAACATATGATATATTAAAAACATACGTATAGATTTATTCACCTAATGAAATCTTTTAATTGATTGAATAATTAAAAAAGTAATATCTATCATTGTTTTTATATTCAGGATTCATCAATAAATTTTTCATAGTAAATAATAATTTTTCTTGAAGCCATACACATAGAATCTATCTTGCATTGTCAGATTTAGTCATTGAAGAGTAATGATTAAATGTATAAATATAAGATTTATTTTTTGTGAATTTGAGAAAAAGAGAAAACTACAATATGATTTATTATATTGAAAATCACAAAAGATTAAAAAAAAAATGTTGTGCCATTTTGATTTCCTTTATATATCAGTGAAGATATAATATTCTCAAGCAAGAAGTTGCTTTGTTTGACAAAATGAATTCGAGGAATGGTGACTCAATGATATAAATGCATAACAAACAGTAAATTTTGAATCGTTGTCGTTGGGTTTTACTTTTTATTATATATATATATTCCAACGAAAAATCGATCATAGAGAAAGACAAAGAATTCATCTAAAGTTGATAAAAAAAATTTAAATGTTTTTTTTTGTCTATAAATTTTAGTTATTGACTAAATGTGATGGGACAGTAGTATTTTGTGTTCTAGCTGTTGTTGATGATGCAGATGATGTTAAATAACCAGCAATTTGTCGACCAACTGAACCATCGGTTAATGCTTGTATATGTTATAATGTTTGAATAAATAAATCATGTCGTGGATCTTTAAAATCATTCAAAACAGTTGATGATTGAAGTATGCGTGATACTTGTTCATTATAAACTAATGATTCAGCCATAAATTTACATGAATCAACAAGATGTGCTTTACATGAACCAGATTTTTCAACATTATTTAATGACGTTGATTAGGTAATGTAAGAATATGTTCAATTAATTAACACCGTAATGCATCTTTTGATAAATTCATGAGATGTACCAAATGCTGGAGCACGAAATAAATCATGCAATCATTCAGCAATAAGTCTGTGAAGCTTTTATGTGGTTGTCCTTTGTGTCTTGTGCTTCCTCTTATTTTGTCTGTCTACGTGTCTTCTATCGCTCTGCTGCTATTGTTGCTACTATCTCTCTCAATCGCGTGTTATATTATATTTTTCTCTAAATATCTCTCTTTGCTTTCTTTAAAATTGTACTGACAGGATCTTCGGGTCGCAGTGATAGCATAATAAATAAATAAATAAGTCCTTGAAGAAAAAACAGAAACATAAGAATTTTGAGATATTTGGGAAAAAAAAACTATTAAATAATCAAATCTTCAGTATGATCAGCTTAAGATTTTTATAGAAATATTGAGATCGAAACACATGCGAAGCTATTTATATTCCTAAGTTGTTCTTGTCAGGTACTTATTAGTTGAACATATATTCATATTTATTGCTTTTGAAATTCTTGACCAATGATTGAAATGCAATAGCGAGACATCATGAAATTTCATGCTATTCTTCATCATTGACTATAATATCACTTTTTTGAAAAGTTAATTTTATAAAAATTATCAGTTTCAATTAGTTTCTTTTTTTTTCTTGTATCGTGTAATAGCTTAGATCTATATTATTAACCAAATTCATGTCAAAGAAATGAAAATAATCATACTAATCTACGTTCAAGATAAAAAATATGTGGTTTATATATAGACTAGTAAACGACCATAACTTCTTATCGTGACTGTTTAAAACATTTGACAAAAAAAAAAAAAAAAACTCGTCTCTTAAAATACTTTTCTTGATAAGACGCGATGAATCTTCAACAAGTACGCAGATCTCTGATCTCGTTACATTATTCTTCATTAAGGAAAATTATGCTACGTTTATTCTTTTATTTTTTGCTAAATCTTAATACATCATTATCAATCTATTGAAATCAAAGGAAGTTATTTTATATTGTTATTTCGAAAATTTTGATAAAACAATTCCGTCATTTAAAAGAAGAGAGAAAACTCATTTTATTTTTCTATCGAGATGATTACTTCTTTTTTTTTGCCTAGCTTGTTTAAATCCACTAATATTTTGTGGACATTTTATTGAAAAGTTTTGTAACCAAATATCCGATTTAAAAAGTGCAAAAAAAAAACTTTAATGGCTGATGCAATAATAGCACCATTACTTTTATATTCTAATATTGAACAATCAATGGTAATTGTTCACACAATGATGTTTGAGCATGTAACAATTGGATAAAAGATTCTATTAACATTTCAAATTCATCGGTATGTGACATAAGAAATTGTTCTGATTGACCAAAACTAAAAACTCAAACTATTATTTTTCGACTTTTCGTAACAAGCCAATAAGCGAAACTCATTGCATGTCAAAAATAATTTAAAAATATGAAAAGAAGATGAGAGACGATGAATGCTCTACTTAGCACTAATAATTTTTTCTTCTTTTATTGAAAAAAAAAACAACACGAATGGGCACAGGAAACAAGTTACATTTGTGCCTCATCTGTTGTATGACGAGAAGAACGTGGAGGCAAGGGCGGTGCCACGCCCAGGTCAATCACGCTCGGCAGTAAACGGCCGTCCACTAACCAAATACGGCGAAAAACGGCAACTGTTTATGTTAGTCATATACAGCAGCCGTAAACGATGATTTACAGCATATTACGGCAATCGTACACAGTGTCCGTAAAAGTTCATCGTAAACTACTACCGTAACAATACGGTGACTGTATACTTTCGTCGAAAAACAATGTAAGGCGTCGTATACGTCAGCCGTTTGTGGTGGCTGTTTACAATGGTCGTATCTGATGCTTTACGGCATGCTACGGCAATTGTAAACATTGACCGTAAAGTATCGTAGGAAACGACTAGCGTGACAACACGACGACCGTATACGCTGGTATTATAAAATGTCGTAAAACACAGTGTACGTGAGCAGTATACAGTAGTCCCTTACGGCGATCGTAAACGACATTTTACGATGATTTTGCGGCCGACGTAAACAATTGTCATAAACAGCAACCGTGTACGACTTCTGTAACAATATGCCGATTGTATACGCTCATCGCATAATATCGCGACGTACCGTCTTTGTTTATTGTAATTCGTTCGATATAGAATCACTATTTGTTATTGTATTTCGTCGCAAACGATCGTTAAATGTCGGCGAATTTCTATTATTGAATATCAATAACATACTCTCCTGATGGCGTATACTAGTCGACAGCTAACAAAAGTTCCGTTTCTACAAAGTCGAGAAAGAGTCACAGGAATTCCAGCAGTGTACCTTAATCGAAAAATAGTCTTTTCTGAGTCTTTTTCCGTCTCACCTTATCCTATACATCGGGGTGCCCCTCCTGTTCACCCTCATTCGAGCTCAGTGCACATTGTGAGTAACAAGTAAGAAAAACCGATTTTCAAACACCGTTGCTTGATCTACCAAAAGTCTTCCCTTCGGTCTTCTTGAGACTCACCGTACTCTAAATATAGGGCGGCACCGCCTATCAACCCTCATGCCGCTTGGGCACAAGGCTTCAGTAACAAGTGCGAAAAATCGATTTTACAGCACTGTTACTTGGCCTTTAAAAAGTCTTCCTTTCAGTCTTTTCAGGCCTACCTTACCCTATATATATGGGTGCACAACGTGGTCGTGGTCATTTGAGTTCAGAGTCAGGTATGAGTAACAAGTATGAATAATAGATTTTTGAGGAGTATTATTTGATCAAAAAAGAGTCTTTTTAAGTCTCACCCCCTACTATATAAAGGGCTGTAACACGAGCTCGTGGTCATTTCAATTGATATTCAGGTGTGAGTAACAAGTATGCATAATAGATTTTTGAGGAGTATTATTTGATCCAAAAAGAGTCTTTTTTAGTCTTTTCAAGTCTCATCCCCTACTATATAAAGAGCTGCAACACGTGCTCGCGGTCATTTCAATTGAGATTCAGGTGTGAGTAACAAGTATGAATAATAGATTTTTGAGGAGTATTATTTGATCAAAAAAGAGTCTTTTTTTAGTCTTTTCAAGTCTCACTCCCTACTATATAAAGGGCTGCACCACGAGCTCGTGGTCATTTCAATTGAGATTCAGGTATCAGTAACAAGTATGAACAATAGATTTTTGAGGAGTATTATTTGATCAAAAAAGAATCTTTTTTAGTCTCACCCCCTACTATATAAAGAGCTGCAACACGAGCTCGTGGTCATTTCAATTGAGATTCAGGTATGTGAAACAAGTACAAACAATGGATTTTTGAGAAGTATTATTTGATCAAAAAAGAGTCTTTTTTAGTCTTTTTAAGTCTCACTCCCTACTATATAAAGGGCTGCAACACGAGCTCGTGGTCATTTCAATTGAGATTCAGGTATGAGTAACAAGTATGAACAATCGATTGTTTAGCGGATGATTTAATGGAAAGAGAGTCTTTTTAAGTCTCACGCCTACTATATAAGGGGCTGCAACAGGTGCTCGTGGTGATTTCACTTGAGAGTTACGTATGAGCGACCAGTGTGAAGAATGGATATTGAGAAGTAGTATTTGATCAAAAAGAGTTTTTTTTAGCGTTTTTGAGTCTCACCGCTACTATATAAGAAGCTGCAGTAAGGGTTAGTGGTCATTTGCATATAGTATTAGGTATGAGTAACAAGTATGAACAATGGATTTTTGAAGAGTATTATTTGATCAGAAAAGAGTTTTTGTAGTCTGTTCGAGTCTGACGCCCTACTAGATAAATGGCTGCACCACGTGCTGGTGGTCGTTTCAGTTGAGAATGACGTCGTAGCAAAAAGTATGAACAATCGAACGTTTAGCGGATGATTTGATGAAGAAAGTGTGTTTTTCCGTCTTTTTTGAGTCCCGCTTCTGTTTTTATACAGACACGCACGCCGAGGTATGTGCTGTTGAGGTGTAGAAAGAACCGCGAACAAGAACGATGAGTAACCGATTCCGGTTATTGAAGTGTAGTCGTTTGGATAGCTTTTGTGATGAGGTTTCTATATGGTCTCTGAATAAGGATCCTGCCTCATTTTCGTATATATTTAAAGAAGTGTTCTAGCATATGACCGATTTAAAAGGAAACCGCAATGCCTGAGCGTTTTGTTTTTAACGCAAAGCATTCCATTAGAGAATATCCCGAAACCCAAGCATTCACTAGAATACGATCCTGCCTTTACATGAAAAAATCATTAATGGTCTTTTCACATCTGCTTTCATAGTTTTCCACCTCGCAGGAAGTTCTTGGAAAAAGTCTGTGGAACCTAGAAAACGACCTTTTTTCAAGCTTTTGCGCGCTAGCAGATCTCACAAGAAAAGTCTTCACAGCACTCAAACAGAATGTTTCGTACCTATTCGCAATCTTCAGAAGAACTCCAAAGAAGTCTCGCAAGGTGCCAGACTGCTTCCCGTCGAGCCTTTTTCAACTGTTTCACACTATTAAAAGGAGTTCTCTTCGGGCCAAAAACCTCTCAAAAACTTTTCGAAACGTCTTTTTCTCTGTGCCCTCAAAAGTCTCAATGAGTCTCAAAAAGTCTCAATAAGTCTCAAAAAGTCTCAATAAGTCTCAAAAAGTCTCAATGAGTCTCAAAAAGTCTCAATGAGTCTCAATGAGTCTCAATAAGTCTCAATGAGTCTGAATAAGTCTCAATGAGTCTCAATAAGTCTCAATGAGTCTCAATAAGTCTCAAAAAGTCTCAATGAATCTCAATAAGGCTCAAAAAGTCTCAAAAAGTCTCAATGAGTCTCAATGAGTCTCAATAAGTCTCAAAAAGTCTCAGAATGGTGAATACGGCCGTACACGATCGCCGTATTACGCCGTATACGACACGGCGAAATACGGCCGTAATACGGTACTTGGAAATACGGCGGATTTACGGCCGTTTACGGCTGTTCCTGGTCGCTGTAATGCTCGTTCTG